ATGCGGAATGTATAAGAGGAAAGCCGCTGTGAATTAACGTATAAAATCCTTTAATTGCAAATCTTCTTACAATGCAGACAGAGTTCATTGGGAAGTGTGACCTATAGAAAACACACAAAGGGCTTGTGGGGTCCAGGGGGTGACAGACGTACTTCCTGTGTTGAGCTCTGTTTGCCTTTTAAGAAGATTTGGAGTAAAAAGAAAACTTTAAATTTACCAAACGAGTCATTGGACGTCAATGACATGCAAAGCTCCATATCCTATACCGGAGGTATTATCAGTGCGGTATTAGGTGGCATTTGACGTATACAATCTTTTCTTCAGTGTGTTTTGTTTTTCATTGTATACAGTTTTAAAAAAAGAATACATTTTTGGGAATCTGTTGCAAAGGTTCTTACTAGACATGTAAGCTGCGGAAAAATTCAATTCGGTTCGGGTTTCGGACAAAATATTACAAAAGCCAACACGTTCTCAGGGCTTCACCCCTTCATCAGGGGGCTGGCTGCAAAAATCAATCAATCAAGGGGGCTGGCTGCAAAAATCAATCAATAATTAGGGATTTCAGTTTGCACAGCTTCCGTCAGCAACCAGTTCAAGAAAAAGAACCAGCTGGCTGGAGCACATCAAGCATCATCTAGATCTTTGCTCCCTGGCCTGACTGTCCATGGCCCGCCCCTTTCATTCATTGGATTTCAGTTATTTCAATCATGGAAGCTCAGCATAACATGTGGGTGTGACCTTGGGCAATCGGCATGCAAATAAATTCTGCCTAGGAACACCCGCTCCTCCAGATTGACTTCCAACCCATCAAGGCATTTTGATATTCCTCCCAAGTGCCAGCCCACTGGTTCGATCAGAGCCGAGTACTCTGGAGAGGAGTACTGGGGCAGCATGCTGTGATGTTTACAGAAAGCTATGTACAGCACCCTGCTGGCTCCTCCAACCACCCATGATCTGCCTGCATTTTATAGAGAAGATCAGAGCACCAGTGATGACATCACTGGGACAGAAATGAAGTATGGAAATTCGCTCACCTCCCGATCTACTGAGCCGACCTGTGACAGTCTCATTGTCACAGGTCGGCTAGAACTATGAGGATGAGTGAAAAGCCCCTCCCCCTCATAGTTCTCCTTTACACTTCAGCTTTAGTCTGTGGTCATGTGAGGTCCCTGGTCTACTTACTTCTGCTTAGCAGAGTGGGAGGTCTCCTTTTCAGGTCACCCTGGTGATGGAATGCATCCCATTGGCATCAGCAGGTTCCTCAGGGGCGGGTGATGATGTCACAATGAGGACCTACAGCAAGTCCTGGACTGCACAGTGGATGAACGGTTTCCGCTTCTGGAGGACGTCACTTAATGGCAGACCGAGGCGAGTCAAAAAATGTGTTGGAGGGGTTTTCATTTATTTGGTAAAGGGTGGCCAGAGGGGGTACTGGGGGAAGGGAGGGTTGCTTTTGTTTGGCGATTGGTTTTAAGATCACTTTAACAAGTTGGGTTGAAGTTACGAATCACATGCTGAAATATTGTGCAAAATACTCCATGAAACAGCTTCAGCACCAAGAAGCACCGAGCCAACTTTTAGAAACCCAACGTAGGCATGGCAAAACCACCGGACCATCAGCACCCCTGTGGCAGCTCTTGTGAGGGATTCTTAATTAGCGTTGTATTGTACAGAATGATTCGAGAAGTTTGACACCTCATTGAACTTTCCTGTTGTGGCAGAAGTAAGACCTCAAGGTGGACGGGAACAGATCCAAGCAATCACTCTCCAGGAGACCCCGAAGGAAGCAGAGGGCACCTCAGTCCACCATGCTCCACCTCTAATGGACTTGGCTGGATCCACCCTTCGAGAAGGAAAAGTTTTTAGTTACAATAGAGCATCCTGAGAGGGTGTTCTGCAGTGGCCGTCCGTTCTCCTGTCTGTGTCCTCCATGACACGTGACTGCCTTACAGTACATTAAGGAATGGTAGAAATATTTCATCAAACACATTTGTAGATATCTCAGTCACGTTTTGTTTGTCAATGTGTGTGAGAAAAGAGCGAGGATTTGAGAAAAATTCTGCAAGAGATGTATGAAGGGCCAGGCCGACACAGAGGCAGGAGGGGCACTGCGGTGGGGGGCGGCATTAGGCCTAGGCCCCCAACCCCTCCACTTGCCCACCAACGCTCCACAGGCCCTTCCACTGGCAGTCCCACCCACCATCCTACCAAGTTCACCCACGGGCTGTCCTACCAAGTCCACCGCACTGACCATCCTACCAAGTCCACCCACTGGCCGTCCTACTAAGTCCACCCACTGGCCGTCCTACCAAGTCCACCCACTGACCATCCTACCAAGTCCACCCACTGGGCATCTCACCAAGTCTACCATCTGGCCGTCCTACTAAGTCCATCCACTGGCCATCCCAATGGGTCCTTCAGTGCACCCACTCTTATTTTAACACTCTTACAACTTCATATATGAAAATTAAAGGTGTATTCCAAGTCATCAGTGTGTCCAATATTTAAGAGTAGTGAAATTTACTTGGGCCAAAATCTATACAGCAAAATCCTATTGGTTTGGGCCTTGGCCTCCCCAGGCCCCTTATATGTGTATTGGCCATACCCAGCTGATGGTGGCCCTGGTGGTACAACTGGGGCGGGAGCTTCATCTAGATCTGTATTGCTCCAGTCAGCTATCAAACTGACAGCTGAGCCCCCTAATTTACACTGGGAGTCTGAAGGTGCCCATACACTGCTCGATTCTCGTACGAGAATCGCGGGAAATCCCGCGATCGTACGAGAATCGAACAGTGTGAACGAAGACGTGCGACCGTTTCTACTGTACAGTCGCACGTCTTTTGTCTAAGGAGCATGTTAGAAAACCCGCCGAGAATCGTAAGATTTTCGGCTGGTTTGAACGGTGCTCGGGAGACAAATGCCGAACGGGCCTGTGCACACTGCCCTTCAGCATTGCGGTCATCGGAAGCCCGCCCCTCAGGGGGGCGGGCATGCGATGATCGAGAGTACAATCTGCCTGTCCAAGATGGGCAGATCGTACGTTTTTTTAATCACTGTACAGTGTATGGCCACCTTAACTCTCCTGCTGTAATCAGTGGAGCTCCACTGTCCGTGAGACAGCTGGTCACACTCAGGAGCTCAGTGGACTGACTGTCAAAGTGACAGCAGCTGCTCTCCCAGTGTAAAGGTCCCCACACACCTTACGATAATCGTACGATAATCGCGGGAAATCCCGCGATCGTACGATTATGGTAAGGTGTGTAGAAGCCGTGCAACCTCTACTACTGTAAGGTCGCACGACTTTTAACTTACGGACATGTTCGAAAACCCGCCGAGCATCGTACGACGTTCGGCGGGTTTGTGGCATGTCTAACCTACAGGGCTGGGCTGTCAGTGTGACAGCCGAGTCCTGCTCTTCATTCATTTATGAATAAGCACTGCAGTTGCATTCTTCATTCGTAAACCAATGTTACGGGTGAATTATTAAGCACTTTTTTAAACAAAAGTTTACCCCTTGTTAAGCCTTAAAGGATAACTGAACACAAAAATAAAAATATCATACATTGCAGCTTACCGGCCCTTAGATGTGGAGGCTGCGTCAGTTTTCTTTTAGAGGCAAGATTTTAGCACAAAAAATACCTGTTGATCCTGCCAGAAATGCAGCGTCATTGTTAGCTGACCTATAAGTGTAGAACAATGTTATCTTCTTGTTGTAAACTATTAATCCCCCCCCTCCCCTTCCTTACGAACACTGGCAGACTTGTTTGTAGTCCAGCCTGGGTGACAGCGATGGCTTCCTCCATATATACAGTGGTAGACGTGGAGAAGACTTTATCACACTCTGAAAAGCAATCTATGGTGGAGCACTTTTTCGGATGATTGATTTGCGTTCGGGATGTGATACCGTTTGTGGTTTATATCCCAATAGGGTTTGTGGTAGTCGGTTGGCACGCCGTTGCGGCGCAGTCCCATTGACTGCAATGGTCGCATGTGGCAAGTCTTTTTAGAGA